CACACCAAAGAAGAATAATGGTAGGATTGAAATGCACTTGACACATTCGTGGGGGTCAGTACTATTCTCCTCTAACAAAAATTAAATCCATTTAGTAATTTCTGTGTTGGTTTGTGAATCAAAATCCATTAAGTTTAATATTGGAAATAGAAAAAAATTGTCTTTGCCTGTTTCCTTCATTCAGATGACAATTTGAAAAAAAAAATGGTTTTAGTGAACTTGCTATTTTCATTCCAAAGTGACTTGGGGAAATTTTATTCTGAGCCCTTCAGTTGCTGACTGTCATATACTTTTTTTTATGGCATGGTTTGTTTTGTTTTGAAAGATAATGTTTGCTGATTCCCTCTCCATTTTGTAACTACTTTTGAATCAACACCATTAAAAGACACTGATTCCTGCTTCCTCTCCTTTTTATCCTTATTTTACCTTTGTTTTGCATCAATGAATTCCTGAAAATAGTCAAAGATGGAGTACTTGATAGGTTTCTTGTTTTTCATTTGTGTGTCTGCATTCAATAAATCCTGAAATAAACTCTGATGTGGCTCTGACATTAGTAAGTAGAGTTTAAAGGAATTATTCAACAAAATTCAAACAAACACTATAAAAATTCTTAGATAATAAAAAATAAGTATGAATGCAGGTCATTACTTAAAGTAAGAGGGTCCGCAAAAAGATTCAGAACTGACAAGGGTCTCAATTTCACTGGAGCTGCAGCAGCATTTCCTCTATCTTCCCTTTTTTCTTCTGTTTTCTCCTGATGTATGTTTTCTTTTTCTCTCTAAAATCAGACGGCATCTTTGATTCTCTTTCTCCCATCTTTCCTTTCAGTCAAAATAGAATAGTCCATTATTTATCTTAGATAATGACAAAGCAAAGAATCAAAGAGAGAAATGCACAAAATTATAATATGATAATAAAATGGTGACTTTAGACTTGTGATAAAAGACACCAACAATTAAAATGAAAAAAAAAAATTCTGCTCTTTATTTTTATTTTCTCTACAAGTTTCTCAGAAGCAACTGAAGTAGGTTATGGGCTAGAAGGGAATTCCATCAACTCCAACCCCACCTGCTCAAACAAACTTTTTTGGTATTTTCTTGTAGCCCAGTGTACTGTGGTACCTGAATCATATGTTAACTAGCAGTAAACTCATTCCCACTATACTAGAAACACCATTTGTAACCTCCCAACCCTAAACAAAAAAGGAAATTTTGAAATGGAATGATCATAACCCTACAAAATGATACCAAGTTTACTGTAATTGGAGTATCCAAAGAAATGTTATTAGCCTTAAAGCCCCTCTCTCCAAATCCAGATTTCTTTATTTGTTTTAGGTTTTGAAATTAAAAACTGGTGTGTTTGGTGAAGTGCAAATAAGAATATCTGCTAGTAACATGATTTGTTTTGTTTAAGAGAAGCCAAAGCTACATGAAAACAACAATCAGTTTGTGTTTGGGGTTGTTTGGTGGTGTACATAATTTTCTATGTGATTGTTGCACTTGAAATTAAGATATTTTCGCATTGATTTGATTTTTCCGCCTTTAGCGTAATCCTTATTGACATGATTTTTTAAAATTACAATGGGATAGAATGATCATAACCCTACACAGCAATATGAAATTTATTGAAATTTGAGAATCTAAAGAAAAGTTATTCGCTTTAAGGTTTTTCCTCCCCAAAAATCCAGATTTCCTTTTTTTCATTTAGTGGGAGGAGGTGTTACAAATGGGTGTTTCTAGTATAGAATGAGTTTACTGCTAGTTAACATTTGATTCATGTACCACAAGACCCTGGGCTACAAGAAAATACCAAGGAAGTGTATGTTTATTGATGGAATTTCCTCCTAGATCATAGTCTAAAGATCATATTTCTGTGCCATAATACAACAGGCTTTTATTTTTATTTTTATTTTTTTTTTCTTACTGAAGATTATTTCATGTTGGATAAACTAAAAACAAATGAGATTGATAATCAGACACCAATTTCTTGAATTACTCTTGTTTTTTAAACAATTGTACATTTTTATCTGTTAAAAGTACAAAAGGAGATTTTTTTTATAATCATAAACAAAAACAAAGGTTGTTGCCAATTCATGATCCATACAGGGGTCAGTATAAAGAAAGTTACATTTTTTATCTTATAATGTAATACGTCATATGGAAAAGTAAAACCACTCTCGGGCAGCATTTGGATCTCTTTCTAAAGTAACTTGTTTCCAATCAAAGTGAACTGTATATTTGACTCTTGAAGAAAATTATAAAATTTGATATATTCCAGATAAAATTGGTTGACTGACCCTAATGTTGACAATAGATGCTATAGTATTTTTATATTAATAAAGTAAGGTCAGTAAGGTATTTACTGTGCTAATAACACTTAGACAATCTAATAAACCTCCACAAAATTGTTACCAAAACAATATACAATGCACAAAACTGGAATAAAAACCATCTGCATATTTTATTTAGTCTCTGGCATTTAAATTTTTTTTTTTACTTTGCTTTTTAATCCTGAGTTGTTAAAATTAAGATCACAGCATTTCTAAGTAGCAAGGTTGGCATGGTAACAATTTTTTCCTTAGATTTTTTTTTTCAGTTTTTTTGATGATGCAAAACATTGACAACAATAAAAAATTAAAATATCACCTAGTTTTTCTCAAATTCCATCTTGCATACTCTGTTCAGGTATTTCATATCAATTGTTTCATCATATATAATTTTATGTGCATAATAGAGATACTACACTGATCTTTGACAGAAATCCCAGGTAGTGACATTGAATCTTGTTCAGAGGGAAGGCTGAAGAATGACAGTAATTCCAGGTAAACTGCACAGACATTCTCATTTTAGGCAAAAGTGCCAATCTATACATAAATACTCCTGTCACTTTTGACTTTGTTATGCCTGCCTTGCTACTTTGTCCCTCCAGCCATCACACAGCAAAGGGCCACAATTTTCTTCCCTTAGATTGATTTTTATCAGATTGTGGAGCCTGAAACCAGCTGGTGTTTCTTTTTCTTGGTTCTTCTTTAACTGTAGTGCACCATGTCATTTTAGGACAATACTTTAGTCTTTTGCAGCAAAGTTTAGAGAAACTTGAGCTGGCCAATTGCCAGGTAGTTACAGGATGTGGCTGGTGAGAATTGTATCTGCCTATCCACCATCATTACAATAAGGTTTCTAGAATTTGCACATCTTAACACTTCCTTATTCCTGGTTTTATTTTTGCAAGGCAACATTAGGATTTTGCAAAGGCATCTTCAATGGAACAAAAGAGTTAGATAACTTTTGTGGTGGATATCAAAGTTCTGCATGCATATAAGGCAGTTAAAAGGATAATAGTAAAGAGTAAAGCTCAAATTATATTTGAGCTTTACTCAGTCTAATCTTATTTGAAGGTCAAACATTAAGGTGTCTTTTAAAGACCTCATTAGCTTTTCCAATACAATTTTTAAGTTTTTTTAATTGTCAACTGATTGAATGCTTCCAAGATAAGTAAAGTTATTAACTTCTTTAATGTGGTGTTCGTCCATCATAACTGTATGTCATCATCAACTTCTAAGTTCTCAATCTTTGGGATTTTTGTTTTTTCAGAACCAAACTTAGAACTAAATTTGCCATGCAAGTTTTTGTTGGAGTTAAAAAAAAAAAAAAAATTATCAAAAGTAAATGGTGGTGGTCTCAATCCTTGAAGGTGGAGTAATGGATAGCAGCTCGGATTGAAGAATCAGAGAGCTGAATTCAAATTCCAGTCAAATCCATTACATTCACTTACATGCTAATACCCTTGGGAAAGTTATGAATCTTCTTCTTCTCCCCCCATTTATGGGTAAATAGCAAGACAGACTTGGTTCTGTAGCTTTGAATAGCAACTAGTCTACCACAGAAAAAAATGGCAACCTACTGCAGGGAAAAAAATCTGTCTGTTCAGTCATGTATTGTAATATACATCATCGCCTAAGTATGTATCACGCATGGCACATAACTGAAGTGTGTTGGTTGATGGTCATCTTATAACCAAAGACTGGCTATCATGTATTCTCTATTGTTATTACTAATAACAGAATGGAAACTCCTCCTTCTCTCTCTTTATGTTCAATTGCTGTTCTTGTCTCTTTAATATAGGAATAAAGGTAAACTCATAATAAAAAAAGAAATTTGCTATATAAGACTTTGTAAAAATAAAATGACTTGGATTAAAGATTCTTTGTTTGAAAAGAGAAACAAATCTTTGTAGTTGAAAAGGAAAAAACTCATGTCATGGTAATATATTACTTATTTTGGGAAGCAGTGGAGAACTATTACGCCCAGCTTTTAAGATACTACGGGCAGGCTTTGATTAGCTCAATTTTAATGAATACAAGATCTAACTTTATATAAATTGGAAATTAATTTAAAGTCTCTGTTAATGCAAACCAGTTTTCATTTAACACATTTTTGAGAAAAATGCAATTCTCATGTTGTACTCTTGAAATACTGAAATATCATTCAGAAGAATTAAATAATAAAGATTTAAATTTAGATTGGTAACATGCTTTTGAGAATGAAGGCAATAATTTTAAAAAAAAAAAAAAAAAAAAAACAGCTGAAAATGGAATTCACCATTAAAGAAATGTTGCTGGCTTGAAAATTTAGAATCAGAAATTTCTGGATATCATTCATAAGATTAGTTGCAATTTGCTTCTTACACAAGACAGCCTCAATGTCCTTTTTTTCTTTAAGTTATTAATTTATTTAAAAAAGAAAAAAAAACTTCTTGCTCAGAGCTTATTCTGTATGTTTTGCACTGTTTTAAAAACTATTTTTCAATGATTAATACATTTTTATCTTTTGCATGCAAATATTTTTAACCTTTTTATGTAGTTTTTATTTTTTCTATAAATAGCCTTTGTTTGTTAAGGTTTACAATAGGAGTACTAACTATTTTGGCACATAAGATCATTATAATTTGCTTAAGTTCTCATTCATCCACAAACTGCTGTGATATGCCAATGACTAAGCTTATGGCCATATCATGTTGAAACACTAGTTTCCTTACAATCACCAAAGTTAAGCAATGTCGAGCCTGGTCAGTACCTATATGGGTAACTGTTTAGGAATACCAGGTGCTGTAAGCTTGGATGTGTGAGTGGTGTAATGGATAATGATATGGAATGGTTAATTGGATAGCCAAGTTACAATTTCATTTAGGTTTGTTATATTCACTTACATGCAAATATCCTTGGGAAATATATGAATCAATCCCTTCCTTCTGCAACTATGGATTAATTATTAAGACTTTTATTACTAAATCATTATTATTAACACCCACACACACCACATTCTTAACTAAAAATATTTTTTGGCTTTAAATAACCTACAAACGGTGGATAAACCGTAGAAAACAAATCAATGCTGAGACATTTTTTATTTTTTGGCCTGTTGTTTCAGAATAAATATAGTTTGTCCAAATAAGTGATTAAATGTATTGATTATTTAAAACCTGAACCCAGTCAGACATCCAATTCTCAAATTCTTGGAAATTCCTAGAAATATCTGAAGGATATTTATATAACATAAAGGACAGCATCTTGCTTTGGGGCAATAGTTATTGACCTAATCTAAAACAGTGTCGTTACTGTGTTGGAGGAGTTCAACTTTTGTTGATTGCCTCATACTTCTGGCTGTGTACCAGACTTTGTAAGTTCTTGTAAATATGGGGGAGATGTATGTTTTTTTTTTTTTTTTATCTTTGTTTACTTTCTCCATGATTTTTTTTCAATTGATTAAAAAATAAACAAAAGTGAAATAGCTATTTAATAGTAGAAACAAAACTGTATAACATATATTGTTTTATGTGTTATAACATATTTTAGAACTTCTAATCCCTTCATCAGCCAAAGATTTAATTTGTTTTAAAAAGTTCAAATACATAAGAACGATACAAACTTGTAACTGACAATAATTCAAAATTCTTAGAAAAATAAAAAAAAAATGGAGATGCAGCAAATAGTTATTATAATTCTAAACAAGTTGTTACATCTTCAAAACTGTCATATTTTTTATGTTCACCTAATACAAGGCCCAAGGGCCACTCAAGGTAGAAGGTTACTTTGTAGAATTGTATTAGTGTCAGAAAGGGCAAGATAATAGAAAGTTAGACAGCTAATTCCAGACTTGAAGAGGGTTACATTTAATTAGCAAATAAAATTTCAGAGTTTAGCCAGAGACATTAGAAATATAGAATTGAAGTAGACTTTAGAAGGAACTGGAAACTCAATCCTAAACAGGTAACAAGGAATGAACCTCTACTCTTGTTCAAAAGACTGGGGAGAAGTGTGAACAAGATGATAGGCAAACCTATCTACTTTATCTTTCCTATAGAGGAAAAAATACTTACTGAAGAAAATTTCAGATGGAGACATCAAAAGTAGAGCTGAAGGAACCAGAAACAAAGGATAACCTCTAAGCCTGTTCTTATAACATAATGTTCTAATTTAAAGAAAGCTCTCTTTTTTTTTAAGAATCCATAATCCTTCTTCAATTGCTAATTGGCATGGTGTGTCTGTTTTGCCAATAATGGAATTGGAAGTCCTCCTCTGTAGTTTCTGTTTTTAAGAATGCTAGAGAACCCTCTGGCCCCTCAAATTATTGCCCTATTAGTCTTTTACCACTTATTGGCAAAGTGTTCGAGGATCTAATCAAGGCTGGTTAAGTGGTTAAGCATTTTACTTCTCACAATCTCCTCTTAGATAAACAATCTGGCTACTGCCCTTGAAAATTCAGTGGTTAACTGGGGCAGGAAATAGCTTGTAAATTTTAACCTCTCCAAAACAAAACTGTTCTCATTTAACCACTTTTCTGCCTGCTATCAGAATCCTGGAGAGCAACACACTGCACCTTTCTGACCTCACGTTTTCTATTGACTGGAAGTGGAATGACTACATTGAATCATTAGTTGCATCTATGGCAAGGAAAGTTGAGTCACTGTGTCATGCCAGAAAATTTTGTTGTCAGCATTCATCTTGCACAATTAGAAATCTACCATTCATCTGTGCATTGAATACTGTTGCCATATCTGGTCTGGTGCTCCTGTTATTTATCTTGAGGTTCTTGACAAAATCCAAAGAAGGATCTGCAATATAATAGATCCTTACTTGGCATCTTGACTTCGGTCCCTTTCTCACCAATGTGACATGGCTTCCCTCTGTCTTTTCTGCAAATATTTTCATGGTAACTGCTCTGACAAGCTTTTTTCCCTGTTGCCCTGACTGCATGAATTTAAGTGTGCCACTAGATTAGCATCTATGTCCCACTTTTTACTGTTGAAATAGCTAAATGCAACCACCACTTCTACTTCTTTTCTTGCACTTCCTGCCTGTGGAACTCCCTTCCATTTACTTGCTTCTCTGATGAAGACATCTTCAAAAATTTAAAGGCAATGTTAATCACCATCTTCTATCCTCTTGAATCCCATTCATCTTTTATCCTTCCTCAATTCTCCCTATTCTCAGTCTTTTCTTCCACTTTCACTCCCTGTAACCTCCTGCATACTAGTGGCATTCCCACCATGCTTGGGTGAAATGATTAAAAAAAACAAAAAAACAATGGAAATTATATTTTTGTTTATATTGATCATTAACCAACAAATGTTTAAAAATTGAAGATTTTTTTTTTTATCAAAAACAAAATGTTCGATTGCATGTTGTTGCAGCAATTTGGTTTTTACTTAAATTTTTTTCCTCTGACTCTTAGTTACATTGCACCCCCCCCCAAGGCTTTTATTCTACTGATGTTTCATCTATAGGAGATTTGAGAAAAAGTTAAAAGAAATAGCTAATAGCAGAATATATACCAACCAGCTTTCAACTGAGGTTTAAAGCTGCTGCTGCTACTGCAATTACTATTGCTAATTATGTCAGTTTATTCTGCCATGGAGTCTATATTGTCATGTTAGTGAAGATTAAATGTAGATGATGAGGAAAAAATTCAATGCCAAGCTTCTTTTCATAACACACTGCTTATGGCTTTATAAGAAGATTTTTTTTTTCCCAATCTTTTATTTAAAACTGGAAAGCCAGGAATATTTTATGTTGAATTGTCAGGATGGTAGACAATTCCTAACCTTATTTTTGACACTCTCATTGATATAAATTGTCTAAAATCAATAACTATTAAGATTTTGATTATCATAATGTGATGAAAAGTTCTTTGTTCCACTAAAAAGGAATTCCTCTTGAAATTTTGATGTCTGATCATTTGGCCAGATTTTGAGAAATGGTTGGGCAGAGAACTCTTCAGCACCATGCACCACCTCATGCAATATGAGATTATATATATATATATATATATATATATATATATAAAAACGTGTGTGGTGGTAAGGTAGTCTCCTACTTAATCAATATCATTACTTAGTTTGAATGGTAGAATAATATTGCCTGTTATTAACTAATGTAAATACTAAATCCAAGCAAGGTTAATTGATATTTGTTCAGCTTCCAAAATTGTTAATCTTTTTAAGTAATTTTGTCTCTTCCCTCATTTACTTCCACCTTTACATATAAAATAGAAAGGTACAAACTGAAGAAAATTACTCTTTCATGTATCTTATCTGCCATCATGCAATGTATGCCTTTAAACTTTGCTTCAAATCTTATCTTGTACCTTATATCACAAAGATCATGGTTGAGTAGACATCTATGAAGTAATCAGTATTCACCTAACCCTGCTTACTAAAATAACCTCAAGATGCACCCAAAAAGAATATATTCGGTATTATAAGATGAAAAATAGAATATTTTAGCAGGAAGTATTTTTTCCCATTTGTCTTTTATTTTCTCTTTCAGTGGAGTTAACAGGAGAGTTATTTTTGAATTTTACAATGGCTTATAATGTGTAATATATAAGAGCATTCAATTTTCATTTGAAAGCTTCAAAAGGAAATAACCCATTTCTAGTAAAATGTCTGACCAAATTTACTTACTAAATTTTAATTTAAATATAGCCCAGTAGAAATGTACAAAAATAAACCTATTTATAAATTAGATAAAGAAATGTCTATCTTTTAATTATCATATTTAGTTGATTATATTATGCTGTGTAAAAATATCTCAACATGCTGGTATTATGAATAGGTCGATAACTGAATTTTGAACCCTTCTACCTGAGCTCCTGAGTCAAAATTTACAAATAATTGGTATGTAATGTTTCACAGTAGATATAAAAATAGTTACAAGTGTTTACCCACCGTTCAACTGGTGGCTGGGCATTAATTCATTTTTCTCTACCACTGGTAAAACAGTGGTCAGGGCTCAAAGGATTAAGCTGTACAGGAAAGAGGTCATATTGAGTTGCAATGAACAGCTGTCCAAAAATGCCCTTGTAAAACATGTGCTTTTTAGTCTGCTAAATATAATATTGAAAATGGTGATTTTAACAAGAGAAGTGGACCATCCACTGAGTGGTCTTTAAGATCCTACCCTTTGAAAAACTCACTAATTGGAAGGGAGGGGAAGAACATTTCTCTTTGTAATTTGGTTAATATTTTGTTAAATCCACAATCCCCCACACACACCTTTCATATAATTGTTTTATATTGGACATTATATTTTTGGAATCATATTGGAGACTATTGCAAATGGAATGAAGTTACTTCTCATTGAATTGCCCACTATTTTGGCCTTGTGCCAGACTAAAATGAACTGAGTAAACAACCATTGAATATTGGATAACATTTTTAGCTTTAAGAATCAATACAAAGGGTTACACCAAAAGTGTTGTGCTGACCCATTAGTGGCAGATGTTACTGTTATGGCAGAAGTTTAACCTTCCTGCCAATATGTATAAATTAATTTTTGTCTTGTTACAAATAACAGCTGAGTGGCAGTCTGACAAAATAGCAGCTGACATGAAAGTGCATCTGAAGCAGAGATGGATTATTGAATATCACCTTGTAAAAAGAATTTTCACCCATTGGCATTTATCAATGCCTACTAAACATTTATGGAGACTAAACAATGGATGTGAGCCCAGTTAGGTAGTGGATAATGCATTTTACTATCAATGGCATGTAGGCTGTTCATCACTGATGAAAATGCATGGCTCATGGTGGTAACCATGTAGAAAAATGTTTT